ACTCAAAAAACAAATAACCCAAAAAAAAAAAAACAAATAACCCACTCAAAAAACGGGTAGAAGACATGAACAGACACTTCTCCAAAAAAGACATACAAATGGCCAACAGACACATGAAAAAGAGCTCCACATCACTTGTCATCAGGGAAATACAAGTCAAAACCACAATGAGATACCACCTTACACCAGTTAGAATGGCTAAAATTAACAAGATGGGGAACAACAAATGTTGGCGAGGATGCAGAGAAAGGGGAACCCTCTTATACTGTTGGTAGGAATGCAAGTTGGTGCAGCCACTCTGGAAAACAGTACGGAGGTTCCTCAGGATGTTAAAAACAGAGCTACCCTAGGACCCAGCAACTGCACTACTAGGTATTTACCCCAAATATAGAGATGTAGTGAAAAGAAGGGGCACACGCACCCCAATGTTCATAGCAGTAATGTCCACAATAGCCAAACTGTGGAAGGAGCCAAGATGTCCTTCAACAGATGAATGGATAAAGAAGATGTGTTTCATATATACAATGGAATATTATTCAGCCATCAGAAAGGATGAATACCTGCCATTTACATCAACGTGGATGGAACTGGAGGGTATTATGCTAAGTGAAATAAGTGAAACAGAGAAAGACAAATATCATATGGTTTCACTCATATGTGGAATATAAGAATAGTACAAAGGATCATAGGGGAAGGTAGGGAAAACTGAATGGGAAGAAATCAGAGAGGGAGACAAACCATGAGAAACTCCTGACTCCAGGAAACAAAGGGTTGTGGAAAGGGAGGTGGGAAGGGGATGGGGTTACTGGGTGATGGGCATTAAGGAGGTGTGATCAGCACTGGGTGTTATACTCAACCGTTTAATCATTGAACACCAAATCAGAAACTAATGATATATTATATGTTGGCTATTGAATTTAATTAAAAAAAAAAGAAAGATGGAGTGCCTGGATGGCTCAGTCCGTTAAGTGTCTGCTTTCAGCTCTGGTCATGATCCCAGGGTCCCAGGATCGAGCCCTGTCTCGGGCTCCCTGCTCAGCAGGGGGCCTCCTTCTCCCTCTCCCTCTGCTCCCCTGCTCCTGCTCTCTCTCTCAATAAAATCTTAAAAAAAAAAGAAAGAAAGAAAGAAAATTGGGCAAGAATAAAAAGAGTATGGTACGTTATGCTTCTGTTCACCAAAATTTAGTGTCCCTTCCTTATTAGTCAGCTCTGGCTGCCATAACAAATATCTTACACTGAAAGGATTAAAAGGAAAATTTCTTTTCTCAGATTTCTGTAGGCTAGGATGTCTAAATCAAGGTGTCAGTCAATTCCATTCCCAGTGCAAACTATCTTCCTGGCTTACAGATGGTCACCCTCTTGCTGTGTCTTCTCACAGTGGGGAGGTAAAGATCCCTCCTCTTCCTCTTCTCATAAGGCCAGCAATCCTATCAGATTAGGGCCCCACCTTTCAGACTTCATTTAATAATAATAACTTTCTAAAGGCTTGATCTCCAAATACAGTCACATTGACAGTTAGGGCTGGCCTTCAGCATATAAATTCTGGGGGTATACAATTTAATCCATAGCACTCCCTGTGGTGCCCCTCTCTGCAGAAGGATTAACATACCTTTGAGGTGGAACTCACATAAGGAGATCTGTGTTCCTCCATTTACCTTGCCTTGACCGATAATATGTGAATGGACATAACACATGTCACTTCTAAGTAGAAGCTGTAAGAGCCAGGCTTAGATCCCCATATTCTCCCTCTGTGAGAGGACCAACAATGTTACAGTTTAAAAACAAAACAACAACAAGAAAAAAAAAAACACAACTCCTCTGTCTGGAACACTGAATAAAGCAGAAAGGAGAAAAAACAAAGCCGACCCATGATGAATAGGTAGTATGAATAAGAAAGAAACCTTTCTTGTGGGCCTAATTGATAATGAATGGGCACCATAACCAGACAGAAACAAATACCAACAACAACAGCAACAGCAGTGCAAAGAAACTGGGAAGGGGGTGATCTACGCTACCAGGGGCTAAACGGCAGATCACAGTGTTACTTACAATAACCGTTACTTATGTAGGCAGTGTTACTGAAGTAACGTGAGTGGTATGTACCAAGTCAAATAATGTTTACCTCATGGGCTTAGCGCTTTAGAAAAAGAGGTGGGAGGGGCGCCTGGGTGGCTCAGATGGTTAAGCATATATGCCTTTGGCTCAGGTCATGATCCCAGAGTCCTGGGATGGAGCCCCATGTCTGGCTCCTGGCTCGGCAGGGAGCCTGCTTCTCCCTCTGCCTCTCCCCCTGCTCGTGCTCTCTCTCTCTCTCTCTCTCTCTCTGTATCTCTGTGTCTCGAAGAATAAATAAAATTAAAAAAAAAAGAGGTGGGAAAACATTATTAGTAGTAAATATCAGCTACTAGTCACTGCCTTTAGTAAAGTACTATAGGAAAGTGATGAGCTCAGGGGGAAATAAACAGTCCAGTTTGCAGGGATGAAAGAAAAGTGAGAAATACTAGAAATCTGGGAACATGTAGCACTGAAAAACTTTCTAAGTATTTCCCATTTTAACTGTTATTAAGGCTGAAAAAATTGTCTCTTCCAGTTCTTACAGAAAAAAATACGAGAAATGCTTTGAGAGTCAAGAGTAATTAAATTCAACTTCATGGGAGTAACAAATATAAGTTATGACCACAACATGCTATGACACAACTGAACCTTGAAGACACCATGTTAACTAAAATAGTCAGTCGCAGGAAGATGAATACTGCATGGCTTCACTTATAGAGGCTCAATTCATGGACACAGAAAATAAAACCGTGGTTGCCAAAGGCTGAGTTAGAGGGGATAGGCTGTTGGTATTTAATGAGTAGAGCAACATTTGGGAAAGATGAAAAATTTCTGGAGATCTTCACAACAATATGAAGATAACTAATGAAATTGAACTGTACTCTTAAAAATGGTCAGAATGAAAACAATGGATCATGGATCACCACATCAAAAACTAATGATGTATCGTATGGTGACTAACATAATAAAATAAAATTAAAAAAAAAAAAGTCAGAATGGCCAATTTGAAGTTATGTATATTTTATCAAAATTTTAAAGTTAACCAACTTTTCACCAATTTCTAGTCCAAAATGACTTATGTTGATGCATACATCCATTTCTCCCTACTCATTTCAAGAGATTAGCAGAAATAGCAGAAAATTAAATATTCTTTAACAGCACTGAACACATGACAGGTCATTTTTGAACTCGCAATTCATAATTCTATGATAATAAAAACTATAAATAAAAATCACTGAAAATTTTATACAAATAAAAAGACAAAAATTATCAAAATCTGTGCTCCTTGCTTTTATACTTTTGCCTGTCTTCACCTTAAACTTTATTCCAATATATCTAATTCCTTAGTGCTTTCTCCAGCTGGACTCTTCAAGCTGCCCCCACACATGTGGCTAGCAGCACAGCTCAAGAGGGACTGAACCTGATCAACAAGCAAACACATCATTCTTCAGGTTCGGCCGAGAATGACAATACCAATGTAAAACAGAAAGTTCCTTACTTGTGAGCACCGATGCAGATATTAGGTAAAATCGAAAGAACAAAAGTAGCAGGACTTCACATTAAATGAGATTACACCTGAGAGGGAGGGAGGGAGCCAGGAGAAATCCCATTTGAGTCACTGGATAAATGGAGGAAGTATCATACATGAGGGAAGAAAGGAAGATGTGCTTTTCACATAGGACTCGCTCAGTTTGAGGTGTCTTCTGGGTGGCTACAAAAGAAGCACTCACCAGGGAGCTGAACCTGTGGTCGAAAGGCTAGGGACGAGGTCCAAGCTGGAGAGAGGAACTGTCAAGACTGTCAAACCACAGGGGGCCAAATAATTCAAGAAAAGCCATATAGTATGAAAATGGGGCCCAGATCGGAACATTTGGATGAGCTACCTTCAGGAGAGGAAATAAACAAATCACCAGGGAGGCTAACAGGCTAACACCATAAAAGCTAACAGACAAGAATGTCCAGGAGAAAATCCTGGACAGTAGTTTTACTACAGCAGAAGATTCAAGGAAGGCAAAGCCTACAGTCATTGAACCAAACTATAATCTGGGTTGATATGTAGGTTGTGGTTATTTCTCCACTTAGAAGATGTGAACTAAGACAACACTGAGTAGGTTAGAGTGCAAATGAGTCGTAGAACTATTTGTCAGAAAATACAACTTTGAACAGTCGGATGCTCAACCTACACAGACAGACTGGCTGAGAGAAACATGTAGAGAGTTATTTATTTATTTATTTATTTATTTTAATATTTTATTTATTTGACAGAGAGAGAGAGGGAGGGAACACAAGCAAGGGGAGCTGCAGAGGGAGAGGGAGAAGCAGGCTCTCCACTGTGCAGGGAGCCCGATGTGGGGCTCGATCCCATGACCTGAGCCGAAGGCAGACGCTAAACCAACTGAGCCACCCAGGCGCCCGTGGAGAGTTATTTAAAGACCTTCAGTCCATTCAGTCCTACAGAAATCCCAAGATTTGGATCAAATAGGGCCTTGGATCATGGATTGAGTGGGGCCCTCCAAAAGCTGCCTGGGACACCATTTTAGCAAAGCTTATTAAGCGAGTTGTGTTTTAGGTAACCATCACCACTGCAGAGTGCTGCAAATGTTGATTTCCAGACTGGTAGCAAAACACCGTCCACTGCATCAATTTTCATGTCCCAAGAGAATGTGGCCTCTTCTAAGGGTCCTTTCTGAACAGGTAGCAACTGTGTGTGTCTTTTTGCCATGGCATCAGAAACACCAGAGACCAATCTGCACTCACCTTGGATGACTCTACGGTCATATAACCTGCCCATATCTACATGCCACCTTTATCAGGTCTATGTATATCTCCCTAAAGCTGCATTTTACTTATTTCTATTTTTCTATTTTAAAGTATAAGCCCTTCCTCATCAAGCTTATGAAGCCCCATGTAAAACAAGTTGAGGGATAAACAAACAAACAACTCACCAGAGATGTATTCATCTCCCACAGTTCTTGGAAACTCAGAGGACTCTGGAAAGATAGCTGGGAGAGAAGGCAAATGGACTAGGGTCATGACAGGACGGCTGTGGCTTGCTCCCAGATCCTGGATTCTCTTGTCTGAAATGCTCTACACATTAGCTAGAAAAGACAATTGAGAGAGAGAGAGCACCTTCTGTGGGACAAGAATATTTTACACCTTGAGAAAGGGCAGGAAAGACCCTATTGAAGGAGTACCCACAAGCCCATTAATTTACATATACAGTTTATTTTTAGTTAATCAAAACACCTATTTCCTACTGACTTACCAATAGTTAATAGTAAGGGGCGCCTGGGTGGCTCAGATGGTTAAGCGTCTGCCTTCGGCTCAGGTCATGATCCCAGGGTCCTGGGATCGAGTCCCGCATCGGGCTCCCTGCTCCTTGGGAGCCTGCTTCTCCCTCTGCCTCTCTCTCTCTCTGTCTCTGTCTCTCATGAATAAATAAATAAAATCTTTAAAAAAAAATAGTTAATAGTATCAAATTAAGATTTTGAAGATGCTTATTTAAATAATGATTAACTATGTTCCTATTAACAGAAATATACACGCAGGGTTTCAAAGTAGTGTCTCCATGAGGACACCTGTGGTTTAAATACCCCATCTTCATAGAACGTATATACCCTGCAACCAACATTTTTGGCCCATGACTTTATAGGAAAACATATACATAAGGTACACAGTACATTTTGTTGTGGTGCACTGTTCCAGTAATGGTTCTCAATGACTTGCTTCCCTGTATTCATTTCCTCCAAAACTGACATGGGCTTTGGCACTCGACCTGCTTTCATCAAAAGGAATTCAGCACATACAACCCAGACACAGGATGAAGAGTACTTTTCCACTAACATCTTGTGAAGAGGCCTGGGGTTAGCCTGATAGGGACAAATGGCTCAGCGAACAGCCAGCACCAACCACCAAAAAAGTAAATGAAGTCCTCTTCAACCAACCAACCTTAGTCATGGCACCATATGATTATGGCCTCTATTGTGAACCAGGCAACACTAGCACAGGAACTGATCAAGTAAACCTAGTCCCAAGTGCTGGGCCATAAGACTTCAAAAAAAATAAAATGACCCTTGTTTAAAGTCATTAAATGTGGGGCACCTGGGTGGCTCAGTTGGTTAAGTCTCTGCCTTCGGCTCAGGTCATGATCCCAGGGTCTGGGATCGAGTCCCACAGTGGACTTCTTGCTCTGCAGGGAGCCTGCTTCTCCCTCTGCCTGCCGCTCCCCCTGCTTGTGCTCTCTCTCTCTGACAAATAAATAAATTAATTAAAATCTTAAAAAATAAATAAAGTCATTAAATGTGGTTGGCCTGTTACCTAGCAAATGCTAAAGTGATACATTTAAACCCTCAAATTCAGTATGTTTTTACAAAAATTATATGGGGGAGAAAGTCTTGAATAACACACCAAGTACCATCAGCAGAAATTGACAACCACATACAGAACTTTTGAAGAGCATAAAGAATGCCCACTCGATGGATTTCAGTGAGTCTGCTGGAAGAGACCATGGGAATCACACAAAACTGTCTGCCTTTCAGAAGACTATGTCTTCACACCTTTACTTCATTACATGAGTCTGTTGATTACAGTTGGGCACATGCTGTGTTTTATTTACATTCTAAAAAAAATGGTTTAGAGAAGAAATGTGATGCAGTCTAATTTTCCCATTTTGCGCAATGAAAAATGGAAAAACAGGCTCCTGGCATTCCTGTAGAATTTTTTATTTTCACAGACCAGATTACTGGCATTGAGCGGGAAACACCTGTATTATAAATGCCTTGAGCAAAAGACATAAGATAGAGAAAGCATCAGGGAAAATGGGATAGGCATGTTTAAGGCAAGTTCTTCTAAGAAATGGTTGTTCTAAGTTGACCGCATTTATCAAAAATGATGTCAGAAACAAACGTGTTGTCGCTTAATTGTGGCAAAAGAGAGAACACTATCTAAAAGTCAGGATGCCTGATGTATGCGAGTCATGTGAGCCTGGCAGACCACTTATGTCCTCAAATCCATTTCCCCCCATCCTTCTTACAAGGCAGAGATGCCCTGGCAAACCCTTCCTGAGCCATCAGGAAGAAGATTCAAGACAGAGGAGCATCAGCACACCTCCAGCCGTGTTAGGTGGAGAGCGTTCAGACAACAGCAACGATGAGGGGAGAAGAAAGCAATGGGAGTTTCACGAACACAGGCAGCTGGCTTCTCTCAGCTGCAGCAGGTTATCCCTGCACCTCAGACCCCTCGGAGGAGTCACATTCCCGGGGCCTTTGCCCACCCGTCTCAGCCTGGCTCAGGTCTCCTGAAAGCAGGCCCAACCTTCCAGGAACACGCCGTCCCTGGTAACTTCTGCGGGGGGTGGAATCCCCCAAACCTTGTTCACCCTGGGCAGAAGCATCAGTAACTGCCTGGCCATGCCAAGTTAGGGTCTCCCTCTTTCTGGGGCTCTCCTGCCTCTGCTCTGAAGCGCGAGTGGGAGGGTGCAGGGGTAGTCGTGCTCCCGTTCACGGGGCGCCTCGCCTTCGTGCTTCCTAACAGCTACCTGCGTCCAGAGAAGACAAGACTGTCGTCCGGGGCCGAACCATCTCTCCCAGAACTGGCGGTCCCTGGAAACTAGGTCTTCCATCAACTTCTGTAAACGCAAGTGCTTGGCAGGCGGCGCAGCGGAGGGGACCTGACACTTGGCCTGCTGAGGGGACTCCAAGAAACCCCGCAGACACAACCGCCTCCCAGCAAGACCCGGGCGCGCACGCCCTTCACAGTGATTTCTACGGGAATCGGGGTCACTTCACTCTGCACCAAGACGCCCGCATCGGAGGTGGGCAAGAGGAACGTCCCAAAGCTTCCTGGCGCGGCCCCGGAGGCTTCGGTGGCAGGGCCGGAACGTGGACGCGGACCGTCTGCAGACCCACCCCGCCCTGCTGTCATCTTGCACACTCCACCGCCCACTGCGCCAAGCTCCCCGAAGCACACGCCGGGTCTTCCACAGCGTGCCTTCTCGCAGCGAAGCGACCTCTGCAAGCACAGCCCGAGGCGGCCCTGCCAGCGCCCCTCGCCCCGCGCGCCAAGCCCCGGTCCGTGGGTCGCACCTGCACGTCAGGTCCCGCCCCCGCCGAGTCCCCGCGCGCCGCAGGGCTCCCTTGCCACCTTCGCACCAACCTTCCGGGACACAAAAACCGACCCACCGGAGGCCGTGGCCGCAGCGGACGGAAACTTCCGGGCGGAAGAGGGGGCGGGTCCGCCCGTGCGCAGAAGGAACCCGGAAGACTCCCAGAGTCCTGTGCGGGAAGTCCTGCGGAATTCGAATTGTAGCGGGAGACTACATTTCCCACAAGCCTCGCGCTCAGTCCTTTAGGAGCCGCGGGAGGTGATGCGTCCAGCTGCCCTGGATAGGGCTATGATAGGTGAGAGGTGGTCTCTACCCACGTGACAATAACGGGGAATTCTGGTTCGTTATGAAATCTTGAAAGAGACATTGTAATTGGGAAAATTCTAATATGCGGGAAACATTCCATCGCATGAAATGTCAGCTGTAACTGTTAGTTGTAATAATGGTAGTGTGGTTGTAGAATGCACTCGGGTTTTTTTCCACTTGCATACTAAAACATGAAGTGAGATATCACAATGTCTGCATTTATTATAGAACTTTAAAAGCAGATATGGCAACGGTTTTTACTTTGTTAAATCAATATTATTAAAGTAGATCCTGGCGTTTGGGATGGTGAGCTCAGGTTCAACAAAAGACCACACGGGAAAGTGAAGTTTATTTACAGAAGTTTATTACTCACAGGTTGGAGGACCTATACCTCATGCTTCAAGGGGCCTCAAGACGAGGTCAAAACAGCGTGCAAGCAGAGCAAGTTCAGCAGAACCCGGAATACATGTCTTCATTAGGGTCCCCCCCGCGATGTGTTTGAAGTTCCAAAGCTAAAGCCAGGTGGGTCAATTCAAACCAAAAAGAGTGGAGTTTTGGTATGGTCCACGGGGGGCTTATCTAAGAGATCTACGAGGTGAAGGTTTTGGCAGGCAAGGGAAGGACTATCTAGGGAAGGACTAATGTCAGTCTGAGGTCCCAGCATGCCCCCTGGCCACACAAAATGGATGCAATGGCAGAAATATCATGGAGTAGTTCATCTAAACACTGGACAGCAGCACTCTATGAACCCATTAAGTAGATGCTAGTCCAAGTGCCTTCTTAGTACAATGGACATATATCAGTCTCATAAATAGATGCTATTCTCACCCACTAACTTCTAAACCATCAAAGGATGATATTCCACTGTTGGAAAACCTGCTCTAGCATATATACAGGAATAAAATAATTGTGTCATAGAGTGGGTGCACTCCAAAACAGTGCAAATTTACATTTCCAGTGTCTGGTAATTACTTGCCCAGAAACTCCAATGATTTTTCCATTCATAAATCCACTTATCAGAATCTTTACTTATTTATTTTCCTGAGTTGGACTTGAACATGCACTTCCCTTTCCTGGTTTCTGTGACACAAACAAACAAGTTCAACACACTGCTTTCTGCTGTCACTGCTGCACCTCTAGAAACAGGGATAGAACGGGTTTTTGTAATTGGGTTGATGTGGACTTTAGTGCTAGGGGTGGCGGTTGATTGTCTGGCCCATGACCTATCAGACCTATCTCTGGTTTTCCCTTTCCCTAAAATATGACCTCTGTTCAAATTCATGTATCTTTTCTGATCCTGCAGTTGCACCTCATTGGCTATATTATGCAGACCCAGGAAACTCAGCCTTTACTTTTCCATTCCCTTCTTTTCTCAGACTCTGGAGTCCCTAGCCTCCCTTCCTTGGTCTTCTGGATTCTACATTCCTCTCTTAAACACCTATTGGTGTGGTATTTGGAGATCCTTTAAATCCCTACCAAACATTCAAATGTTTGCTAATACATCAGTGAAGTTCTGGACCTGGGCTATTCTTGGTGTGAACTTTTAAGTTACTAATTCAATCTCTTCAGTTGTTTCAGATTCATTCACATTTTTGTTCTTGAATCAGTTTTGGTATTTTAGGTATTTTATGAATTTATCCATGTCATCTAAATTATCTAATTTAGTGGTGTACAATTGTTCATATAATTCCTTCTAAAACTGTTTAATTTTTGTAAGGTCTGTAGTAATGTCCCATCTTTCATTTCAGATTTTAGCAATTTGAGTCTTCTCTCTTTATTTCTTGATCAATTTACCTAATGTTTGTCAGTTTTGTTGATCTTTTCAAAGAACCTGCTTTTGGCTTCATTGATTTTCTCTTTTGTTTTTCTATTCTCTGTTTCATTTCTTTCTGTTCT